AAACACTTGTTAATTTTCTGTCTCTAAGTTGGTACCATTGCACGCATCACACGAAAGCATCACTTTTGAGAGTGCTCAATTGTGGGCAGCGTTGCTGTAGTTGGAACACTCAACATTAAGTATTATGCCGCATAATGCGCTATAATGCTGTAATTGGAAAGCAACCATTGTTTGTTTTCCAATTACAGAGCATAATGCGACTCAGTGCCGCACAATGCCCAATTATGCTGATGCTTAATTGGAACGTGAATTAGTTTTCAAATGCACCAGCAGAGTGCGCTAAGTTCAGTGTTGAAAAAAAAAGTCAATGTTTGTACTTTCATCCATACTTATATTTATTTTTTAATAGTTTGAATGAACTTTGATTATTTAAAAAGAACTATTTAATGAAACGAAAGCTTTAATAAATTTTCAACAATAAATAATATTACAAACGATAACATATAAATAAAACATTTCGATCAATGCCAACTTAAAGAAAAAACACTTGTTAATTTTCTGACTCTAAGTTGGTACGATTACACGCATCACACGAAAGCATCACTTTTGAGAGTGCTCAATTGTGCGAAGCGTTGCTGTAATTGGAACACTCAACGTTAAGCATTATGCCGCATAATGCGCTATAATGCTGTAATTGGAAAGCAACCATTATCTGCAATGAGTTACGACATTAAAACTAAAAAGAGTAATAGACTGCAATTAGAAAATGATTTGATTATTAACGTTTCAAAAATAACACCACGATTTAATAAAGTTTTGAAAAATAAACAAGGCCATTCTTCTCACTAAAATTGTGCTTTTATTGTAGTGTTAACCTTGACTTTTTGATGTGTAACATCTTTCCTCTCTAGACATGGGCGTTTTTGGTTTTGAACGCAAACGGATATTTATCGGATTTCAGATTTCAAAATCGATTTTAAAATCCGTTTTTAGATATCCGATTTCAGATGTGCCGAACTTAGCCAATTCACTAGTTTGTGTTATGATTTGGTTTTATTAGCTAACGACAATCACAAACAATTAATTGTACGAAGCAAGGATACTCGTAGATTTGCGCGATTTTCCTTTATGCTTTAAATCGAGGCTTAGGCAAGAGTATATATTCTGTGGCTTAGGACTAGCAGAAAAGTTATCTTTACGGTTAAAAGTAAAACTTTTGCGGCGCATTTAAAAATCGGCTTATATACAATGATTTCCTTTTACATATTTTTTAAGTATTTTTTTTTTGTTTTTATTATTTTTCAAACCATTTACAAAATCAAACCTAATTACTTCAGGTTAGCGTTCAAAAAATGTCGGTTGCTCGACTTTTGATGTTTTTAGACGACATCTTTTTCAGTAATAAATAATCCCGCCTTAGAGAAGAACAATAGATTTCCGTAAACAGCAAACCGAAATCGGACTTCCGAAAACGAAAGCACGAATTTCGAATCCGATTTACATTTGGATACTTGCGGTGGTATTAGATCGCTAGCGTTTTGGTTCGGTTAGATTTCTGAAATCGGATTTTCTTGTTGAGAAATCGTTCGGTATCGATTTGTGTTTGAAATCGGATTTTGGATTCGTTTTGATATATCGGACACATGCCTATTCCTCTCGCTTTCCTGCAATTTGTGGGAGTGATTTCGTGAAATGGGAAGGTAGTGCGTAAGTACCAGGAAGTCGCGAAAGCGCGCGTTATTTGATTAGATTTTTGAACATAATGTTCAAATGGCTTATTCTTTTTGTAGTAGGTTTTTTACTTATATAAGGTGAGATTTCAAATATTACTCATACGCGACTACTGTAAGGCTCGCTCGTTTTTTCTTTCAGTCGTAATCCCCCGAGTAAAGCTTCGCTACCCACAGATTGAAAAACACTGGTCTAAACCTTAGATTAAAACAAAAAGGCGGCACTAGCCTCACAAAAGTGATCCGCACCAATTGTGGTCCACGACCCTAATCGCTTTAGTCACAACTTGACATGCAAACGACGTACATATGAACGTCAAAAAGATATATTGCTAATATTTTGTGTTTATATAATAACACAATGCCTAAAAGTGTGTTTTTAAAAAGTGCTCAAATTGCTCAAGCACTAAAAATAAAACCCACGGCATCACTTTTCATTCGTAAGTACTATAAAATATATTTTTTCATAAAAATTGCTGTTTGTTTTGAATCTTATTCGGTAGTGACGTCGAGTACTGGTCGCGCGATTGGTCGGTAGTGCAGTGACGCGGATCTCGCCGTCTCGTTCGCGCTGCCGTTGAAATTTAACGTGCTGTTTCGTTCGGGTCGGTAATGCAGTGATGCGGATCTCGCCGTCCCGTTCGCGCTGCCGTGGGATCAGTTTTTGTTTGATGCAAGTATGAGCGTTCCGTATCTACCCTTTTTGTTTTAATCTAAGGTCTAAACCATAGTCTGAACGGTCGCCCCTTCATGGGGTGCACTAAGGCTAAGGCTTTCACGATGAGGGGATTATACCAGCAATAATGTATAAATCAGGCATGGTGTTCTTGCATCTTGCAATGGTTGTGTAGTGGGCATGCATTTATGATGCCAATTGTTCATTCAGAAAACCCGCTACCACAGAATTTAAAATGAAACATTCCAATTCCTTTCCATAACCACCATGGCGACAAACTTCACGGTGGTGTTAGGGTCATCTGACGAGAAACAAATCAGCTTCCAAAGGTACGGAGCAAATAATTCACGTAATCCATCTCAATCAGCTGAACTATAGTGCCAAACCTTGCGAACGTACATCAAGACAATGGTCAGATGATCCTAGAGGAATATCGACGGATATCCGATAACAGTCCGGAGGCGAGATTATCAGAAGTTCCAGAATGGAGGCGGTATGATTTTTGCCATCGGGTATCCAAGTTGGGGATGCTTACAAGCAGCTCTTCCAGTGTGTTCGGTTGTCAGATCTTTAACCATTCTATAAACGGTGCGCATAATTATCGCCTGAGATCACCACCTCAGCTAAAGGGATAGGTAGTTGCATGGGCGTACCCAGCTTCTGGCCTAGGGGGGGGGGCAAGTCAGATTTTCCAGGTCGGATCATCCATTCTTTCATCTATATTTATTCATCATCTATATTTTGATTATTTAACTAGTCTGGCCATAAATACTTATATTTTAAAAACTTCTTTCGATTTTGCGCCATTTCACATATTTTGTCGTGTTCGTTATCAAATTACAATATAGAATGGGTTGTTAAAGAAAAAAGGATTGCAGTGATCGCCTTGCACAAAGTGGGTATGGAGCAGTCGTATATCGTACTATCAACCGATTCAATATCACTTCGTTTGTCGAAGACCAGAAAAGATCGGGGCGGCCGCGTGCTGTTAGAACTACAAAGGCCCATAATGCTGTTAACGCCAGAATTCGACGAAACCCTATTAGGAAACAAAAAATCTTATCGCGAGAAATGAAGATTCTTTGATTCTCTGACGAGACTGTCGCGTATTATAAAACAAGAACAATGAAGTTTGGTGCTTATCGCCGATATACAGGACATGCCCTAAATCAATCTTTACAATTAAAGAGAGTGGATCGATCAAAACGCTTTCTGTCGCGATACGCAGGTGAAAAGCACAGAAATATCCTCCTTCAGCGATGATAAAAATTCACGATTAAAGAACACTACAATAAGCAAAATGATAAAGTGTACGCTCACAGTTCTAAAGAAGCTGCTCAAGTGGTCGGAAAGGTACGGTCATCATCCTGCGCCAGTGATGGTTTAGTGGGGCGTGTCTTATCTAGGAGTCACAAAACTACATTTTTGTGAAAAAGGAGTGAAAAATTCAGCCAAAGTGTACCAAGATAAAGTCTTGGATCATGTTGTGAAACCTCACAGCAATACACTTTTTAAAAATATACTGTCGGCTTTCCAGCAGTATTCTGCATCTAGTCACAAGGCACGAACTACCCAAGCCTTCCGAACTTTATAAGAGCTGAAGACTGGCCCTCATCTAGCCCAGACCTCGACCCTTTTAGACTTCAAATTATGATCAGTTTTAGAGGGCATGGCCTGCTCTAAATGACACGGCGACATTAAGTCTAAAAAAACCTTTGGAGCAAGCAGTGGCGAAATTTCCCTTGGAAACTGCGTAATTCCATAGATTCGTGGCCAAACAGATTAAAGGCCTGTACAAAAACCAAAGTCGGCCATTTCGAATAGTTAGTAGTTTTTTTTGCTGAGAGTTTAATAAATATGTAGGTATAATGTAATTTTCTTACAAATGAAAATGCATTTTTATGGCTGAACTAGGTACATAGAATGTTTTTTTTAATCACCTACGATACGATTTACTTTCTTCAAAACAATTGCGTAATATATATACAGGCGTATAGCCTGTCCATACACTTAAATAAACAGGTTATACGCCAACATTATTACATTTTGAAATGGCACAAGTAGTCCCCGCCCCAAGCTCGCTTTCACGAAAGTAGTCTCTTTCAATCTCATTCATTAAGCAGAATACATCTCGCTCTTTGGCCCCCATATGTCAACTGTGGCAGCAACTGTCCAAATAAGTAATCACTAAATATTTTTGAATTAATTTCTTTAAAACTGTACTTACGAATAAAATGATACGTTTTTCTTGTCTGTACTAGTTCCCGTGTAATTTGTATACTATTAAAAACACGTTAAATATTTACACGTTGTTGCGAAGTGTAGCCGCGGCGCGAGAGCGTGCCCGAATGAATGCAAGTCGGGCAATTACCTGACTTTCGTATTTCCAAACTATCATGCTAGAGGGGCAGCGATTCAAAACAATAACATGTAAAATAAAATAAATGCTAGTCGCTCGCAACTCCCTACCTAAGATTACTGAATGAATACAGCCGAGCATTCGAATGCTCGGCTAGATTCGGTAATCTTCGTCTGCAACCGTCGCGCGCGGTCTACCTACTGCGCGGTTTATTTAAAAGTTAGAGCATACGGCTCCGTTTACACTGATTAGTAATAAGGCGAGTTCATACATGTTCTGCGTGATTTCCAGGGGGGGGGGGGGGGGGCAGCTGCCCCTCCCCCCCTTTTAAAACATACCTCAAAGTCAATGATTTTGATGAGTGCTAGAAAATAATTGCGTTTCAAGGATTAAATTGATTCCCTGATGTGGAGTAAAATTTAAGGAATAAATGCACATTAATTTTCTGTCACATTTTATTATGTATCATTTTATTCTTCACTCTTAATTGAGTCCCCACGTAACCTTTTCTTCTGTGGTTCGGAATGTCCATTTATTTCATTAGATTTTCGTTTCTTCTTCTTTGATTTCATTATATTATTTTGTTGCTTACCTTCTTCCCTTTTTGAACCATTTTCTTTACCTTTTATTACACCCTTCTGTGAGCTCAAAATATGTAAGAGGGACTGAAAATCGAGATTGGTTTCTATATGGCAGCTTTCATGGAACATTTTGATATTGTTGATCAATTTTTTAAGAACTACAAGAAAATTCTTTTTTACTTCTATATTTGTTTCAGTTTGAAAGTTATTTTTTAATGTATTTTCAAATGTTGCCTCTATATTCGATAATTTTGTTAATATAAATTTATTTGATGGTTTGTTCCTTTTCAAGGCGCGATAAAAACCTACCATTAAATCAAGACCTTCATTACGCCTGAATTGTCGTACTTGGTGGTTGAAAACATTCTCTATGATTATTGGTATTAAGACGAAATTGCCATCCCATTCTGTTTGCAATATGCTGTGGAAAAATATAATAGGAAGCAAACAGTTACGATTAATAAAATAACTTTGTAAAGCTTCCTTTAAAACATCAGCAATGGGTGATGACGTTTTCTTTTTTTTAGGAGATTTTGAAGAATTACTATCTATCTTTACTGAACAATGCACTATAAATGTGGCAAAATAAGTTATCACATCTCCAACAGCTTGAAATAAAAAGTGTGATCGTGCTCCTTTGTCAATTGTAGACTTTAAATAATCACATAATATTTCCATTGTGATGCCATCTGTGGATGAAAATTTCCTTACTTTTGTAAGCAATTTTATTGTTTTTCTAGTTTTAACCTCCAACTCTTTAAATTGGTTATCTTGTATACAAAACTCTAAGCATCTCATTAGAGGGGCAATCATCGCTAGACAGATATCCATTGAGGGATCTTTTTCAAAATATATGGATAAAAGGTCAAGGACTCTTATGCGAAAATCTGATAAATTCTTTTTATCCCTTCTCTCCTTTTTACTTTTTTGCCTCTTACCTTGACCAAATTGTTTAAATGCTTCAGCTAATGCTTCGTCCAACTTCTCGGCTTCTTCATCATCTATCATGTCAGCATCCACACTCTCAGCATCACTGTCAGTGCCTGCACTGCCCAAAGCTTTTTGAACTGCCATTCGAAGTTGATCAGGAGTTTTCATTTCTTCATCTTCCTCACTTTCACTACTGTCACCCTCGTCCTCTTTTTGAGAATCATCAGCAGTTTCTTCATTGTCACTGTCAGATTCACTTTCATGTTCTGATCCACTTTCATCAGCCAATGGGTTCGATTCATTTTCTGGATCAAGAACTGACACTATTTGACCAATCGCAGAAGGAGTAAGAAATTCCCACAGCAGTCTAAATACGCATTGTACAACAGATCTCAGTACACTAGATTCTATAGATAATATTGACAACAAGACCTCTATCAACACTTCTACCCATTCTGGTTCATCTGTTAACTCAACCTTTTTGACCTTACTTTCTTTTTCTTTTCTGTAATGATCATAGCAACTCTTCAGTTCTTTGATGGAGCCCCTAGCTACTTTCACGTGAGCAGGCTCTGAGAATAAGAAGAGACCAAGTTGATACAGCAAAATAAGGAAAACCTTGTCTACTTTTGACTTGCAATCTTTTTTCTCTATACATTCTGTAATGTGAGTTAACATTTTCCAGCATTCCATACTTTCTTTAGGAAACTGTTTTTCTATTTTCGTACAAATTTGTTCTTTTTCAAGACTTGAGCTAATCAAATTACAAAGAGAAGATAATACCAGTACCAAACTATCCACATTCGAGAATTTTGAAGTGAAGCAGCGGTAAAAGCAAGTTTTGATGGCATCTGAAAAAAAAGTAATTTTCTGTAAAGTTTATCTGGTGAGAAAATGTTACAATTACAATTGCCTACAGAAGAACTATCTTACCTGACAAATCTTTACTGACAGCTTCGTTTTCATTAACTCCAAATTTAAAGAATCCAAAGCACATCAATAATTTCATATACTTCAATTTAAAGTCAGTATCGTCTTTAACAGCTTCATGGCTCACCAAATATGAAATAAGTTCTGCTGCTTTTAATCTTTCATTGTTGTACCAACTTCTTTCAACATTTTCTTTCACATATTTTTTTGTAGTATTCATAAGAACACCTTTAAACATTTTAGCCATATTCCTGACTCCGTCTGTATCTAAATCAGCAATTATTGATTTGATAAGTGTTGTGCCAGTTATTTCAGTAAAGTTTATCTCTCCTGGATTGAATAAAAGTTTTTTCAACATCTCCACTCTGATTTTATTGTTCACACTTTCTAATTTCATGGCTTTAGAGAGGACTGCAAGTACTTCTTTTTCTTTTTTTATCATGATTTTATGGTCATCTTCATCATCTCTTTTATTTCTTATTTTGCTTGCTGTTTGCAGACCTTTGAACCAATCCATAAATAATTTAAAAAAATTCTTACTTATCAATTCTGGAATTACATCAACATTTTCATGTAAGTTGTTTACTATGGCTTTAAACATATTAAGACTTGCCAATTCTCTATTTCTATTGTGTTTGACAAGTTTGCTATCAATACCAGATGTCCAAAATTGCTTTAAATGTTGTGAATTTGCTACTTGTTTCCCAATTTCTTCATAGATAGGATGATTCACTAAATTGTAGTCAATGCCAGCCTAAAAACAGAAGCTTTTTAAATTTAATATTATATAAAACACTCAACATTGGGGGCTGTTCAAGTATTACGTAAACACTATAGGGGGGCAGGGTGGCATTGCTTATTTTTGATGACATGGGGGGGTGGGGGGTAGAGATGGTGATTACGTCAGCATCATCGATTAAGCCTTTTTAAGTACTGCTGCTCATGAAGCTCATGAAAGCTCATGAATCAATAAAAAAAACAGAATACATTAAAGGAAAAATGCATATAGGTACCAATGTTTACGTAAGGATGGGGGGGGAGGGTAAGAGCTTTGCTTGCTCTTGCTGACGAGGGGGAGGAGGGGGTAAATAATTGCAATAAATCTGCTTACGTAATACTTGAACGGCCCCTAGCGTGCTACTGCTTACCATCAATATTTCACTGGTGTCTTGAATATTATCATCACAAAGCACTTCAGAAACTCCAATAAGCTTTCTGAGTTTGACTTTATCAGGAAACTTTCTACTCGCAGTCAAAAGAAAGTATAGTGTGTCAAGACTGTGCTCTTTAATATCTTTTTTAAAGTTTTGCTTAATATTTGACCAAACAATTGAATTGAATTCATCTTCTTCAAGCTGAAAATTATACAAATAAAAATTAATATATTTTATATTAGCATTATAACTAGAGAAATTTGATGCTGAACGGCAACAAACAAGATAGAATTTCACTGTGATTAAAGTCACATATATTAAGTATTATCAACCAAATTGAAATGTACATATGCCAATAGGAATGATGACAAACTTCTTTCCTTGGTCTATCAGGCAGATTATTAAAAAGTATTGGACACATATTTTTTTCATTATTCACATTAAAAAAACATTACTGGGATATATTGATTAAGCCTCACAAGACCCCATGCCCAAACATTGATACTCTATTTAATTTTTAGTTGAATTACAAAAGATAAAATAAGCATCCATGATTTTGCGATAATCAAACAGAAGGATTAAATAGAATCTCATTTAATTTACCCTGTCATCATTCTATTATTGGTCCATCAGCATAAGAGGAATCCCAGCCTAGCTCACACTACCTACTCAAACGAAATTGGGAAACATGCAAGTGATTCAGAGAGCATAATTATTGTAAAAAAATAATTAGTATAATTCAATATAATAAATTTTAACATTTTTTTGAGTATCAATCATTGTGCATGAAAACCTAAGAAACAAATATAATAAATTTTGTTAGCCCCAAAATAAAATAAATAGAAAGAGAGTGGTGTAGATTCTGGCGTGATTCTCTAAACTTAAAAAAAAAATCACATCAGTCTGTCTTTTTCCTTTTATATACAGAATGACAAGGATACACTGTGGTCAAATTTAAGTTTAGCTTTAGAGACCCATGCCAGAATCAACACCATTTACTAAAAAATCAATATGACTATCAGTATGAATCCTAATTATAAAGAAAATTATATAATCTAAATAAAAAAACAAATATTTATCAAAATTATTTTTACTTACACCATTGACGAAATCTATTAATATAACATAAGCAATAGTGCTTACGTATGATTTCTTTTTACTTGCAGATATCAACAAATTCAGAACTTCTTTTTGCTCTTGTTCTGTGCTTGTCCTCATTAGACCTGAACGAAATATAGCACCACATACAAGTATTTGGCCCAGAGCAACATCACCAACTTCCTGTAATTTAGAATAAATGTAACTGCTTACTTTAATATCCTTAATTTATGTTTAGCATATTTCAAAAATCAATAAAGTAACCAATAACATATTGAAGTGAACTAAATGAAAGTATGAATACCATTTCAAATGGATGTAGTACTATGTTATTCTTACTCAGTTAAAATCTTATGTTTACATATTTTAAGTATATACTCACGCTTTTAGAAGAATTATTAGCATGTAGTTCTTTTTTAACTAACTGTAATAATTGTGTGATTGTGACAGATTTTATTCTTGTTAGAAGAGTTACCAGAGTCGCAAAGTACCCAGTTCTTATATCAGGAATGTTCGCACCTAAACTCCTGATAAGCCGTTTTAGGGCATACTTGAAGTCTTTGCTGTCCTGAAATACCATATCATAGAAAAAAATATATATAAAAAAAACAATCATTGGTGTCAATTCTAGAATGATTCTCTAAACCTAAACTTAAATTTGACAGCAGTATATCCTTGACATTCTCTATACAGAATGAAAAGGAGAGACTGATTTTAAATTTAGTTTTAAGTTTAGAGAATAACACCAGAATTGACACCATTATCCCATTTACAGTTGCACTAAAGGTGTATTTGTCCTAGTTGATATAGTATGTATCCATGGACTGTCTGACAGTGGTTTTGCAACGAGTTTTCAAGAATGTATGATTTTATTTAAAGGTTAACATATTTTTTTATTTTTATTAACTATGGCAAGCTAACAAAAAACCGTATTTACATACTGATCAATAGTTGCCTAACCTCATTGTTAACGATTTGCATAATAATTCTAGCACCACCAGTAAGCTTTTCTTCATCTTTAGCAGCTTTCAGTAAATCAAAAGAGTCTAATATTGAAGATGTAATAACAGGGTTAGCAATTTTAGTCTCTGTGTCGACGTCTTCAACCACTTTGAGTTCCATTTTTCCTCAAATGCTAATCAAATGTTAACGACTATTGTTTACACGTAAGTATTTAACTATCAAAGAATTAAAAGCCATGAAATATCGCACGTTATCGGCAAGCACACATGCAGCATGGCCCCACGTTTATTTGACAATGTCAATGTCAGTCAGTCTTTTTTTTGCCCAATTTGTCCCTTTTGGGACGGGCAAAGGATTTTGAGTTCATACAGCCCTGTCTTTGAATTTTTCTTTCATAAAGTGTTTTGACTGTAGCTTTTACAAATGTGTATAAAGGAATGTACGTGTCATTATTTTGTAAAAGTTTTCTCAAGTCCACTGATGCCAGTCGGGGGGATTCCCCCCAAATTTGGGGACTTTTTAAAGCGTTGGAGGGACTAATAGATGAAAGAAATTTGGGTTTGGAGGAAATGGGGGGCTTTTTAATTATAACATTTTTTATATAAAAATAAAACCACTTCATAAACTTTTGATCTGTAAAAAGTCGCGATCAACAGTCAATCAATAGTCTTTCTCTCTCGTTTTGTATAGAGCATGACAAAGATAGACTGTTGTCAAATTTTTATTTTATGAGGCTTAAAAAATCATGCCGGATTTGGACCTCTAAGTCCAAAACCCACATAAAAAAATGTAATCGTCGGTCCAACCCGCCTCACTCAGTCAGTCAAGTCCATTTCAAGTCAAGCAAGTTAGTCAGTCGTTAATGGTTAACGACCAATGGCTTTAACTGCCAATCGATTCGACACTATCTATCATCTTTGCTCAGCTAAATCCTAATTTGTGCAGAAATACATATATTTTTAATAAATATTTTGCATGTTGTGGGGATTTTTCTTCAAAAACCTGTATTTTGGGGGGATTTCGGGTAAGATATGGGGGGAAGGCGAAATGGCTTTCTGGTAACACTGCTCAAGTCGCCCGGAAAGTTTTCTTCGCCAAATTAAGAAGCAGCATATTGCACTGTATTTGAAATGAACCGCAGAAGAAAAAGATATGGTCCAGTGACTAATTATCTTTATTGCAGAGGTTACAAACAGGTGAGTTGACAGTTGACCATCTTGAGTCGGTACGCTGATCTTTATAAAGGCAATGTCCTAAGTCTGCATAAAATGAATAGTATAGGAGTGCTCATCGTGGAGTTTTTGTTTACTACAGGTTGCCGTCATAGCATAGATAATCTATAGACTAAAATGGCCGACAGTGTTTTTGTATTTCCATGAAAAGTCTATTTAAAATTAAAGATTTGTAGCTTTCTAGGTCTCAAAAAAATGCAATACATTTTTTTTCGGTCTAATAGAACTTTTAGTAACCGTTTAAAACCTTTTTCCAAAAAGGATCAACTAGCCTATTAGCATGGATGAACTGGAATCATGTTTTCTCCGAAACGTGGACAAGTTTGATGATTTGTGGTCGCTCCGTTTTACATGGAAGACAATTTACTGTAACGAACAGACTGTTTGAAAAAACAAACAACAAGAAAAGCGTTTTTGGGATTTACTCTAGTGCGGCAGAATAACATAAGGGGACACCCTTGCACCTTGTGCAGTACTCCTATAATACCTGAGACTTCTATGTAGGGCCGAACTAACTAACTAATTTAATTCCCTTGTTTCTTAATATTCGATCGTTAAAGTACTTGTCCCTATTTAACTTAAAATAACTAAAGACCCCCGGGATGGAATTTGATGCGCTTTGTCACAGATGATCATGATGACTATAATACCTTTCAAACAAATGTAGTTTAAGCTGTGGCGGCCGTGGGTGCAGCGTCCATACATTTTTGTCCTTTATTTTTAGAGAGTCATACCAGAATCTACACCAGAAGGTATTTAAGGAAGGTTATTGGAGCTCTAGAAGTTTTCGAGAACTCTAAACTTTATACTAAATACTAACAGTAAAGATGTCAAAATTATTACAATAGTAATTGCAGAAATATGTATGATCATAAATGAATAACAACCAGCGTATTTAAATTGTGCTTGAAACAAATAATGGTGTCGAAACTGACATGATTCTCTAAACTTAAAACTAAATTTAACAACAGTCTCTCCTTTTCATTCTGTATACAGTATGACAAGGATACACTGATGTCAAAGTTTAGCTTTAGAGAATCATGCCAGAATCGACATCATAATAATGACAAAACTTATGTATGTGTTGTGTTGTGTCGCATCAGCATCGGAGAGCTATCTGTTTCACGCATTAAGTATATTTAGAGTGGAAACGCTTTCCAAACTGAACGATCGCATCAGATCGCTTCACAATACAACATGTAAGTATAATTCTACCTTAACGTACAATACGCCTAAATCCCGGCACTTCATTAAAGTTAACTATGGAGAAGTTTAAAAAAATATGTAAATGACGTTTTTTCCGTTGAGCAGAATTTCTCACAAATGTAGTAAATAATATGGTACTCTATTACAGCTTCCATTTTTTTAAAGCTATTATTACTATTACTATTCCTGAAAGTAAAGTTTGACATTTGTTTTAAGTTTAGAGAATCATGCCAGAATCGACACCATTATCGTATTAATAATCGATTCAAAAATAGATTTAACATAGGTAGCGTCATCCACAACACTAGTCTCCAAACATGGCAGGCCGTAGTGGTTTTGACGATGGTAATCCCAGGTATTTATTTTAAAATATTATTTTAGACCTATTCATATTGATATTTTTTATCATATACGGTGATATGAGGACCAGACATAAGTATGTTTATAAAATCCATCGGCCGGTAGTGGTTAAATAAAACAGTTTTTAGAATGTGATAACATTGAATAAATTTGTGATTTCTAGTTAATCTGTTGTATTTCTATGGCTTTGGCAGTCAATTAGTGATTCTATTTCGAACATTGGAAGCATAATCTTGTGATTACTATGTTGGTGTATGTTTTTAGGTTATGAAATTTCATGGTTATGCTTGCAGGGACTTTGGTGGTGGCGGCAGGCGGACTGTCGGGGGCCGCCCGCTCCCTTCAGAGCCCCCGTACAAAGCTTACGTGGGAAATTTACCCTCTGGTCTCATACAAGGCGATATCAACAGAATCTTCCCTGTTAGTGAGAGTATATCCCAATTATAAGTTCTTATCCTGTGTTACCATATATTTATAATTATTGAGTAATTATTAAAAATAATCATTTAATAATGAGTAAAATTTTTAATGTTCTAATATGCATTAAAAACAATTTTGTTTTATTAACAATGCTTAGTAAGGTTAGGTTATTTAATGACTTTTTTTTTAAATTAAAGTGTACATTTCAGAAATCCTCACTGATAATGTAAGGAAGTTAGCTTACACTGAATATTAAATTAAGTTTTAAATGAGCTTTTTTTCTGTTGCAGGATTTATCAATAAAAAGTGTTAGATTGGTAATGGATAAAGAAACAGATAAATTCAAAGGATTCTGTTATGTTGAGTTTGAGTACCTCGAGGATCTCATCAGAGCAATTGAAATGAGTGGAGTTCTGAATGTAGACGGTAACTTTATAAAAATTGATGTTGCTGAAGAAAAGAGAAATGATAGGTAAGCTAATCCACTATTCTTGAATTTTAGAGGTGTATGTTCTGCTGAATGTTCGGTTTGATTTTTACTTGATATTCAGCCTAACATTCAGTTTTTACAGTATATTTGGTTTAATATTGGGGCAGTAAACCTCTTTGATTTATATTTTCATAGATGGGAAAGAGTTTTAATACTTTAGCTTTCAATGGAATTACGCATAGGTATAGTGAAAGTTAATTGACTAGAATCTAGGGTGTTACTCCTGTTTTTAACAGGTAGCAGGCATGCACTCTTGATTTTTAAGTAGTCTGTAGACTATCATGCAATGAACTTGAGGATATATTTAATAAAGACCAGGTTTAATCATCTGATTTCATTCTTAATAAAAGTTAATTGTGTATTGCCTGTTCTCACCTCAGCCAAAACCTTGGATAGCATTATACATTGGATAAATTAAGTAGGTATTTATTAAATACATACATAAGTTCATAGCGTAGATAGTGTACAGACATGACTTCAAAATCAACAGTACATGCCTGCTACCTGTATACCACTAACTAATGTAGCACCTCCAACCAACCATATTGTAAAAACACCACCTTTTATACATTTTCAGTAGTAAGGTGGAGGTTACTAAAAGTTCTTGTAATTATAGTAAAATTCAATAGATATACATTTGTGTCATTCAGCATTTCACAAAGTTAGATTTAAAATGATTCCTTGCTTTTTATTTTTGTGGTTTTGATTCAGAAATATTAATATTACAAAAATTTCACCAAATGTAATTGTTAAGTGTTTTGGCATTATACATCATCACTTAAATACTAATATTATCATATTCACGTGTTTAGAGTTATAGAGATATGTATATGATATGCGCATTGTAGGGATCAAGTATTTCTATAATTATATGGACAATTTAGAGTAATCTGGGGAATGCAGCAATAGTCTGACCATATTTGGTCAGACTGTTAACAACTCTGATCTTAGGAACGGACTGAGCATTCCCTGTTCTCTGTAAAAAAATTGGGCAGCAAAGTATGAGTGAGATGAAGCAAATGTGAAACCAATAGTTCATTATGTATAGACATTGTGCCCATAGAGGCTGCACCATCACTTGCTCTCTTTCTAAAGAATTGTTAAGTTCTTGTGAATGACAATCTGATTATTCACTAAGTCTATGAGTTAAGCATCGTAACAAACTTTGTGGCTCTAGTCCTGATTGTGTATTTTAAATAAGTACAAGCCTCCTCTTCTGACTTTGGTATTGCTCAACTTTGTTATTTTTTTACAAATATATATATATATATATATAAATACTATAGATATTTATATATTGCAAATATATAAATATAAAAAATATAAACCTTTTTGTTGAATCATTCTATTTATTGCTGAAAACTGCATTCATTTCAGTTGCATAGTTAAAAGGATTAAGGGTACACAGGCCCAAGCAATAATTTTGATAGCCCTGTGATCACATCGTAATCACAAAATTTTGTATGGAAAGAGCCAGTCTGTTCTTACTTCCGGCAGGGGTGCTGCTTAGTTTTCACAAAAACTACCATGATACGATATGATTATAGAGCTGTCAAAAGAGCGTGCCGGCCTCGAATAGCGGGCATAGAAGTATAAGAATAGAGTAGGGGAGATATAGACTCTACTACAAGAGGAGTTTTTTTTTATTTATTTTTACAAGTGGAAGTGTCCCTCTAATAGAAAGAGAAAGAAGATGAGAGACAGCTAGCTTTCTCGCTCTAATCGCGGATGCGCATTGGCAACTGTAAGCATCCTACTATTTCGATGTGATGCTTGGACCAACTATTGGACAGATAACTGCGCATGCGTCACAAGAGAGAGAGATGGCTAGCTCTCTCATATTCTTTCTCTTTCTACTACACGGACACTTTTAGAGCCGCCTTCCCCACTATTCTTATACCTCTATAATAGCGGGAGGTCTTTAAAGATTTTGCATTTGCGTGTGCGTTGCGTAGAGGGGGCGGCTTCGACCGAGGGCGGCGGGACGGCGGGCGCGACGGGCGAGACGGGCGCGAGGGAGGCCGCGGTGGCGGTGGCGGTGGCGGCGGCTTCCGGCGCGACGGCGGTGGCCGCGGTATGTACGACCACTTCGACGCGGCCGATCGCCGCGCGCCTCGCCATCAGCCTACCGGTGGAGGGTTCACACATGGTAACATCACTAACACACTAACTGCCTCGCGCTCGTGTAACTGTAACTGTCGTAGATACATAACTGAGGCCCAACCACGAATTTTGACAGCTCCGTAATTGCATAGCTAACATATAATGTTAAATGGATAAAGCTCCTTTGTTTTTACGTCGAATACTAAAAACTAGTTTGTTCTTATGATTGATACACTCTCAAAATTCGTGCTGCTTAATTTACATAAAAACTTTGATGATGCAATATGATTACGGAGCTGGCAAAATTCGTGCTTGGGCCTCTGCAGACTTGTTTTAATGGTGGTCGTGCAGAAGGTAAATAAGTTTGGTATGTAGAAAAAATGTGCAATTTAATAAATGCAACATGCGACACTTGGATTATATTTAATTTTATTAAAATTAATATTCTAAATACACAAATAGTAGTCAGTGTAATGAATAAGCATGTTCTGGTATAATTGTAGCTTTTTTATCTAATTTTTGTTTAGGACATTGGCCGGCCACTATAGGGTTTGAATTTGTATAGTAGAATTTGTTATTCGAATTGTCACCTGCTAAAAATTCTCTTTAATTTTGAAAATAATTTCATTCAATTAATATCAATCATTGAGTCCTGTTTATTTCAAAAATAATACATTTTTTGCTAAGTGTCTAAGATCAGTTTTTTTTTACCAAGTCGGGATTTAGGAATTTTTTAAGTGAGAAAAACGGGATTTTTTTGTCGAAAGCGGACATAGTTAAAAAAAAGTATATATTCAAAAGTTATTGAATATTTGTCTTCTTAGGCGCCAGGCAGGCGGCCAGTCCACTCTTGTCTGTGCCATCCGCACTTTCTCAGTACGCTGCACGCACGTTCGATATTCCAGAAGAGGTGGATTGAGCCTGGCCGCGTGGGACATTAAATTTTGATTTAAAAATCGGGACGTCTGGCAACGCTGTCTAAGATAAATTTATAGGCTTCTCCATAAAGTTCTATGATCCAATGCATATTTAACAAAATGTTAGTAAATATGATCATTATTTAATTACCAGTCAAATACTATTCACAAACAAGGACTGCTTTTTGGGTCACTGTAAATTAAAGATAGCAACAAAAACAAAACGCTGTTTTAATATTTATTAATAATTTAATAAAGTTTAAAGTTAAAAATATAAGTTCTAATGAACATTAAATATTTTAGCACATGCACTCTGAAAGACGATTATTATGATCTCCTACACCTTACAGAGGATCCCAGTAACATAACACTATCTTTTGGTGCGGTTGTGTTTGTGTCAGTGAGTTAGGTATCAGGAGTGATAATTTTGCTATTGCAAGTAGGGTTTACCATAACATGTCCGGATCATTAAAATGTCCGGATTTTTTTAAATACATTGAATATGAGTAATAAAAGTAGATACTGATTTAAATACCATACAAATGTAACTAAGTGTCCTAAAAAGTCCGGAGTTTTTACGAAATGTCAGGATTTTTGTCAGGACTTTTGAAGTTTCTAAATGGTAACCCTTATTGCAAGTGTCTATAGGCTATGGTGCCCGCTTACATCAGGCGGACCATATGGTTGTTTGCCACCCCTTTAGCATAAAAAAAATAATATTGCCATCGTCATCTGTCCTTCTCTAATTTATATAATTTTTAAAGCAGTGACACGACACGCCATACATTGACTTTTTTAAGTAAATGAGTATATGTTTTGATACAGTTACACGAAAGTCGACAAGAAAGAAACTGATAAGTAAATCATTTTGTAGTATAAATACACTGCACTGCAAAATTAAGTATCACATTTTAAAAAAAAAAGTTGAAACTATAGAAGTTAGTGATTTAAACTAAAAAAACGTTTTATAGCAAATTTTATCAGTTTTCCTTGAAACTGTATATACTGTGTACAAATAAAACTTTTTCGAGTCGTTTTTATTACGAAAGTAAAAAGCTATTGCAATTTTAAAAGTGTGAATCTTAGTTCTGCAGGCATTACATAATTTTGTAAGATTCATGTTTAGTATTGAAGACATCATGTTTCACACTATCAATTTGTGTCAGTTTCTTTTTTGATATAATGGTTTCATTCATTTATTCCATACATAAATCATTTTCATAAACATCTAATTCATGGTTGCGTGAGATTATTTAATAAATGCACTTATGGTATGTGTTCTTGAAGCTTTTCGCACTTTAATGCATTTTAGTGGAAACCTTAACTATTAGAATCTCAAATATTCTTTGTTGAATATATATTTTGGCTCCATAACTATGGAACACGGAGACAATGATTAATATAACTTTTAAGTAAAGGAGATTGCTCAGCTTCCATACATGTTTGGCCTAAAGACCAATAATATTAACCATTTACACTGAACATATTAAAATAATAAAAAACAAATAAGTTATATAGTAAACTAGGGAAATCCAGCCAAGTACCGAAATTATGGATTAGATTCAGGCATATAGAGCATGTAGATTAACAGATAGTTGCCTGTTTTTAAAGTTAATGCTTAAGAGTAACTTTTAAAATCAGGTGTCATTTCCGGTTATAATAAGATACTCTGTGACAGAAACTGTGTGATGATTGTGAATGAGCCACAGATTAGAGAGAATTTTTAAACTCTAGTTAACCAAAGAAAGCTAAGAGATTTAGGTTCTACAGCCGAATATTCAGTAGCTTCAATATTGTTATGTTTTTAAGATAACCATATTTTAGATTTTTAGTGTATCACACCTTATAATTTTATTTATTTATTAATTTATAGTCAGGGAACGTAGGCCCATAGATAGATACCTTAAAGTCTAACATATATACAGATTATAATGTGTTTATGGAGGTGATTGGCGAAAAATGTATGGCAATAGACTTTATGATGTCGCCTACCATCTATAATAATTGTCTGAGCACATTTGCATCTAGTGAAAATGATAATATAGTGGTGGATATTAATACCACAGTGTATTAAAAAAATGATTTATTTTATCGATCTTTACAAAATAGATTTGTTTTTATGTTATATAAACAACTTCGATCAGTCTTTGGCTGAATGTTACTACACCCATAGCCATTAAAAATTATTCGTATCTTTTCCAAACCGGTAATATTAAAAGTCCTTTTTAAAGTAAATATATTATACAAAGGTGTCCGTTGAAATCTAATGACTGTAAATTAAATTATAAATTACGCCAAGAATTACCGTGTATGTCAATATTTTTTGTGCATTTAGGCTAATTTGAGCAATCTCCTTTCAAATGGTTAACAAAATAATCCTTAATACTTCTGATAGTTAATTGCTGTAAATTTTATAGTTTATATGTTAGATATAGAGTGGGAGACAAATTAAACTGAAGTGTTTTGAGGGATAACAACATGAAACATTAGTACCAATATACTTTGTAAATGAAATTTTATGGAACAACGCATCAGGCAAGATTACTCTTAAGTATTCTAATAGTTTGGCAGACTACCAACCAGCTTTTTATTTTTAAAAATATCATCCTATAGAACTGCTTTATCGAAATTTTGTGTGTTATCTAATATTCATCCATTAACAATAACATTACCTATGTTATCCAGCTATCAAATTTTTCTTACAGGTGTGGCATAGAGGTAAATTTTTCATGCATCTTTATGAATAGTTTCGTAACTAAATAAAGCCTAATATATGCGTCACGTTTATTAAATTCTTTTTATCTGTTTCTTTTTTGAACTATGAATAAGTTTATCGTTTGTGCGTTTTCCCGAATGTACGATTCGCCGATTTTTTTGTCTCATAATTCGTAATAGTTTATAACTAGGTTTAAACCCAGGGTAGATACGCTGGTCGCTACACACGCACACATCGACTGCTTTCAAACTATCTGACATTGGAGTCAAGTACACATTGCGCGCAAAATGAGCCGTTTTCTTTTCAGTGGTTTATTTGGATTGCAGTTACAAGTACAGTTCTAGCTGATGATGTGCTATAATAAAATAATAGATATAACTGCCTGGTTTATGATTCTTAAAGTCAAAGTACTTTACATATATATATATATATATATATATATATCCAAGTTACTTTACCAACTACTACCCCAAGGCCTTTCAAAAGCACATTTATGAAACCACTAGTCTCTGCAGAAGCTCTGTAGTACTCAAATAAGTACTCCCGACAAAGTTATAATTGCCACTTCAAGCTGACTGTCGGAACGGAGTTGAAATACTGTATGGAGACATTCTTAATATACGTAGGAGGAAACATAATTATATATTTCAAGTATAATATGAGTTTAGCGACATTTATATCGCGTGTATGTGTACACCGTCGCTGCTACTTAGAGACAAATCAAGAGATATATAATCTTTCATTACCATTTTTCTTTCTTTTTTGTTAAGCATTGCCATATAACTTTTTTATTCCAATCTAAACAGAACCATAATTTTAATTAAGTGTTTATGGTGTTACTCGTAGTCATAGGTATGTTAATCCAAGTAAATGACTCCATTCCTCCTGATTTCAAGTGTCTGGCCCGTATTAATAAAACACGCAACTCTGAGAGCGATCTTGAGATGTTCTTATGTAAGAAAACAGCATCTCAAGCAAATGGTTATCCAAGCAAATGACTCCACTCCTCCTGATTTTAAGTGTCTGGCCCGTATTAATAAAACACGCAACACTGAGAGCGATCTTGAGTACGATTTTGAGATGTTCTTATGTAAGAAAACAGCATCTCAAGCAACTACCCTACAAAACGCTTCTTAACGTCAAAGCTCTAGATTGTCAGTCGTTTCTTCCATTATAACGCCCGCAACGCTGCAAGTTATCCAAAGTATCAAATAAGTATTTAGCAGAGTCACTACAGAGGTGTTCGAGCCATAGTCTAAGCAGGACAAGCATTTGAACTTTTAAATGCCGCACTGGCGTTCGTGATGGTATTCCGGCAACGGGCTGAGGCTAAGTTCCTGTCCAGAGGACGTGATTTACGCGTGAGCCCATACGCGCGTAGATATCAGTTGAGTCCAGAGGTGGGCCTCTGGACAGCACGGATTTTTACAGCTCCGAAACGTATCGTCATCAGACCAAAACGCGCGAGTTCCAGAGGGAAGTTTTTCTTAATCTCTTGTTAAGTGCCTGCCCAGAGGACGTGATTTACGCGTGATCCCATACGCGCGTAGATATTTCAGTTGAGTCCAGAGGTGGGCCTCTGGTCAGCACGGATTTTTTACAGCTCCATAACGCATCGACATCAGACCAAAACGCGCGAGTTCCAGAGGGAAGTTTGCTTAATCTCTTACTTATGTGCTCCGACTTCGCCTTAGCAATCACTCTTTTGCAAGACCTGGAGGCTGAGTTATACTAGTAAGAGTGCATATATGTACCTCTAGTATGGCGGCCTGTACACAATCAGTCTTCTCTCGATCCCAATCACATCATTTCTTTAGTCCGTGTATCCTAACTGCCGCGTTCAGACGTGTTGGCATGCATTTAAGTCAAAGCTGTAGTGTCCCTTGTTTTAGCCTTAACTTTGAAGAAAGGTATTCGCAAAAGGCGCTGGTTTGAACCACATACTAGAGAGTACAAACGGTTATCTCATGTATGTACTTTATTATTCATACCTACTAGGCGGTTGCGCTAGGTTTGTCAAATTATACCCGCCCCGACTAGCGGCCCTCGGACTGCTCGCCGCTTGACGAATGCACTACGCAATTACCTGCGTCGCGAGAGTTTGTTGACAGCAAACCAACGTCATTGTCGTGGATATAAAGCATTTTTTCTCCTCGTCATCGAAAAAAAAAAGGTTTCGACAACATTCGCTAATGGACAAAAAAATTGAAACAGAGGGAGCTGAAATCTAACTTAAATATTTCAATTTTAATGTTATTGTTATATTACAAATTATAAAACCTTTCAATTCACTGTCTAATGTTAAATGTAAACAACCGTCTACTTAACAGATATATTAACTTGTTTTTTGTTGCTCCATTTTGCACAAAAAGGTCACAGACGCGTGTCTCAAGCGGATGGAACTCGCGTTTGCAGTGGTCTGAAGTATTTCGAATTATCGTGTCTGAGCGGTGTATAAGTATGCGTTACTCGACTGCACTTTGTATATAGAATACTAGTGCAGTCATTGAAGCATTATTGCTCCGAATTTTTTTACTGTGAACCGAATTGCATACAATTTTGGAATTAGGTTCATCTTACCCTTAACTTCAAAAGTGAAAATGATTTGAACTCTGCAACCACCCTGGGTGTGGTTGCCACCCCTTCTCGGGGGTGATTTTTTTTTTCAAAATAACCTCGGATATCGATAGAAATTAATTTTAAGCAAAAAATCATCTATAAAGTTTTTCAAAAAATCCAATACTTTTCAAGTTATTGGCAATTGAAAATTCGAAATTTTTTCCCGTTTTTCATCGGTTTTTTGCAAATATTTCCAAAAATGTAAGTTTTATCGAAAATTTTATAAAGAACAAAATTGTAGCAGGTAAAACAATGAACAATTTGGTTTTTTATAAAGTATTCTAAGTGCAATATTAAGCTAGATATTAAAGATCAAAGCTGTTATTTATTTTGTCTGAAATTTAATCGATGTCGTCAAGGCCATCTAGCGGCGAGCAGATGCATTTTATGCATTCTAATACAAAAGGGTTTTGTAGTGCTTGAAATAAGCTTTAAAATGAGCACTATTTAAAGTCTTTTGCACGTAAAATAAGTGAGCTGTATTGCAAATAAGGGGAGCATCTAATGTTTTTTCTTTTAAATCAATGGGCTTCATAAGTGCCATTTCCACCAAAATTAAAATTAATCGTATTCCGCCTAGAATTAACTTTATTATGAAGAGTTTGATAGATAGTATCAGTTTGGCTGCTTCAGGACACATATTTTTCAAAAAAGTCACGATTAAAAGAAAAACCAAAAATAAAAAACCCACTTTTTTCATAATATCTCAAAAACGACGACAGATACGTATAAAAGGGTACGATTTAAAAATTTAGGTATTTTTCTGACACACAATTTGGTTTTTTTGTTTTTTCTGTCAAAATAACATTGACGGAGATATGATTGTTTAAAGAGCGCGTGGCAGCGCAATCACAGCCTCTCTTAAGCCCTTTAACCCTTCACCGTTTTAGAAAAAGGTTTTTTAATATATATTGCAATGAAGGATGTTGTAGCTCTCTTAATTACCTTTACAATGGTTTTTCATAAATTGTGATAGCATGAAAATTGAAGGAGTTATGGTCCAAAAACTTATCATATTTTTTTCTACTTAGTAACTGAAAATTTTGGAGTGTGAATATTTGGAGCAATGTGAAAGTACGCAGTATAATAGAGACCCACAACTATTGTAATGTGTATATATATACATAATATGGCTCATATATTTTGGAAACGTAGGCATGAATACATACCAACGTTCTTATATGTATATATAACACATTTCATCATCATCATTCATCCAACGGATTGGGGGTGGGTCATGAATGACGGTTTATTAAATTCACTTAAGTCTGTAGATCCACCCGCACCACAAGAACTGCTGAAAATGATTTTTTGCAACTGCAAAAAAGGATGTGGAGCGTCTTGCGGATGCAGAAAAGTTGGTCTGTTTTGTAATAGTACCCGCGGAACGTGCAGTGGAGATAACTGCCAAAATAGCCCTCCAATTCAGCCAGAAGATGTTGAATGTGACAGCGACTCCGACATTGAGTCATGAATAATAATATTATATTTTAATAATAATAGTACAATTTTATATAATTAGTAAATATTTTATTCAATAAATGGCAATTTTTTACTCTAAATCAAATGATTTTTTAAATATGTAATCATATATATTTACTGTTTTAATTTAGGGGTAGTTTTAAGGGTAGAAAAGCTTAAGAATATGATAATCATTTTCAAGAGTGTGGAATAATATTTAAATCCTTTACATTTTATCAAAAAAAAATTTAACAATATTTTATCAAGGGTTGAAAGGGGGTTAAAAATTTGATAATTATTATAGAGAATATAAAATATTACTTACTCTATACTTACATCTTTTTATGTCATACCAAAGTATTTTTTTGTGATTTTTTCAATTTAGGGGTTGTTTGCAAGGGTTGTAAGATTTTCAAGGGGTTGAAAATGATTTTAATATGAGGTAATTATGTTAGAAAATACTTTACAATTTCATCACTTACTATTAGACATGTTTTCTAGCGATAAAATGGCTCAATGTCAATTTTTCTATGAAGGGGTAGTTTACACCCCTTAAATAAAAATAATAGGCGGAATTCAGATCATTTTCACTTTTGAAGTTAAGGGTAAGATGAGCCTAATTTCATGCAAATCGGTTCACAGTAAAAAAAATCGGAGGTAAGACCGTATTTTTCGCTTCATAACTGCACTATACCTTCTGTACTGTCAATTTTGTGGTTAAATAGTGGTAACGCAAAAGAGAATAGTACAATCATTTAAATCTACTTAATGGAATTCAACTAACTGCTGAAGCTGAAGATTAACCTACTTCAAGATGGGCGAATAATGTTTCGATGACTTCCTAAAAATGATAACTCCATCCATATATAACCAAACAAGATACTTGCATGAGAAACTCGATCTTGGGCTTACGTTCAATCTTGATTACAATCTGGTTTTCAAAATATTGTTAGATATTTTGAGTCATCTATCAATCTACTCCGCACATTATAATATCAATTTGGATTGTGATGTTTGATTTAGATCGCGGATCGCGATCGAGATCGGCGGGCTGGCTATCTCGCACGTAAATCGCGTCATATAAATAGCGATTTATTTATCAGACAGTGTTGTATTTTCAGCTTCGGGTGTTGGACGTAATTTAGTTAAATCACAACTTGTTTTATGTCTGTTTTGTCATCAGAGCGCGAGCGGGGTGGAGGCGGTGGCGGCGGCGAGAGGTGGGCCGAGGGCGGACGGGGGTCGCGCGGTGGGTCCGAGGAGCCGCGCGCCGGGGACTGGGGCCGCCGTGCCGGACCCGGGCCAGGCCCCGCGCCCGCGCCGCAGCGCCCGCCCCGGCGCAACTTCGATGACATGCCGCCCTCGCGTCCAGGTACCACACTACTCACTGTCTATAGAGCGGGTCCGAGGAGCCGCGCGCCGGGGACTGGGGCCGCCGTGCCGGACCCGGGCCAGGCCCCGCGCCCGCGCCGCAGCGCCCGCCCCGGCGCAACTTCGATGACATGCCGCCCTCGCGTCCAGGTACCACACTACTCACTGTCTATAGAGCGGGTCCGAGGAGCCGCGCGCCGGGGACTGGGGCCGCCGTGCCGGACCCGGGCCAGGCCCCGCGCCCGCGTTGCAGCCCCCGCCCCGGCGCAACTTCGATGACATGCCGCCCTCGCGTCCAGGTACCACACTACTCACTGTCTATAGAGCGGGTCCGAGGAGCCGCGCGCCGGGGACTGGGGCCGCCGTGCCGGACCCGGGCCAGGCCCCGCGCCCGCGCCTCAGCGCCCGCCCCGGCGCAACTTCGATGACATGCCGCCCTCGCGTCCAGGCACCACACTACTCACTGTCTATAGAGCGGGTCCGAAGAGCCGCGCGCCGGGGACTGGGGCCGCCGTGCCGGACCTGGGCCAGGCCCCGTGCCCGCGCCGCAGCGCCCGCCCCGGCGCAACTTCGATGACATGCCGCCCTCGCGTCCAGGTACCACACTACTCACTGTCTATAGAGCGGGTCCGAAGAGCGCGCGCCGGGGAGTGGGGCCGCCGTGCCGGACCCGGGCCAGGCCCCGCGCCCGCGCCGCAGCGCCCGCCCCGGCGCAACTTCGATGACATGCCGCCCTCGCGTCCAGGTACCACACTACTCACTGTCTATAGAGCGGGTCCGAAGAGCGCGCGCCGGGGAGTGGGGCCGCCGTGCCGGACCTGGGCCAGGCCCCGCGCCCGCGCCGCAGCGCCCGCCCCGGCGCAACTTCGATGACATGCCGCCCTCGCGTCCAGGTACCACACTACTCACTGTCTATAGAGCGGGTCCGAAGAGCGCGCGCCGGGGAGTGGGGCCGCCGTGCCGGACCCGGGCCAGGCCCCGCGCCCGCGCCGCAGCGCCCGCCCCGGCGCAACTTCGATGACATGCCGCCCTCGCGTCCAGGTACCACACTACTCACTGTCTATAGAGCGGGTCCGAAGAGCGCGCGCCGGGGAGTGGGGCCGCCGTGCCGGACCTGGGCCAGGCCCCGCGCCCGCGCCGCAGCGCCCGCCCCGGCGCAACTTCGATGACATGCCGCCCTCGCGTCCAGGTACCACACTACTCACTGTCTATAGAGCGGGTCCGAGGAGCCGCGCGCCGGGGACTGGGGCTGCCGTGCCGGACTGGGAGAAACGAAGAACTTTGAGCACAATACTCTGCACAAGTTGAACTGAGTCAATGTGATTGTTAATTATCTTGTACAGAAACATGGCATTCAAATACTGGCTAAAATATAAAAGATACCTATCAATGAAATCAAACTATCAATCAAAAGTATGATATAAGCACTGGAAATCAATTTCTAAATGAAGTCGTTGAGACACAACCGTCAGCAATAGCCCGCGCGACAGGCAGCCTTTGTGATATTGATTCGTTGGTGGGAGAAGTGGTGGGAGGCGCCCGACGTGACCGCACAGTGGTGGCATGCGCATGAGCTGCGTACTGAACAGTACTCGAACATTGCAACATTACTTTATTTTTCTAAAATAAAAGATTTTTTCTAAAATAAAAGTAGCCTAAGTTATTCCTTATTAGATAAGCTACCTGCCAATAAAAGTCCCGTCAAAATCGGTCCAGCCATTTCAGAGATTAGCCGGAACAAACAGACAGACATTGAATAAAAAAATGATATTTTGGTGTATGTACCGTATATATATTCATAATTATGCATGTAGTAAAAAGCGGTTATTTCAATATTACAAACAGACACTCAAATTTTATTTATTTAAATAGATTACTTAAGGGAATGTAAACTATGAAATAAAATTATAAAAAATAATCATGCGTATTCTGTATTATAGTTTGTTTCATTAAAATCATTTTATAAAATGCATTTATTGGTATTGCACATAACCAAAACTGAGGTTGTGTTTTTTGTGAACAGATACTACAGGCAGACCAAAGCTGAAGTTGGAGCCGCGGACAGTGAAAGAGCCGGTGAACTCGCTGGCGTCGACCAGCCAGGCCTCCTCCATATTCGGCGGCGCGCGGCCGCGGGAGGAACGGCTAAAGGAGCTCGCCGGCGAATAAACGCCCCCCCTCCATCCGTGTGTACTGTACGTGTCCTGACGCCCAACTGATCCCTTTGTGTGCCCCGATATTTAAATCTATGTGAACACTAAAATTGTATATGAACTCGAAGGATTTTGTTAGGTTATGAGGTTGTAAATCATTTTTATCATATATTTTGTTAGCATTATTGTGTCGATGAGCTTATTATTGTTTAGGCGCGGCGGCCGCTGCTCGTACAGTGAGCGCCGGCCGCCCGCGCGACGCTTCCGTGCAGCAGTTTAAGGTTCAAATTGATAGTTTTTTTTCGTCGTTCGTTCCGTTTTTAAATTCTGTCAGAGCTTAATGTGTGTTCGATATCTTGGCTTGCATAATAATTTTTATTGGATCAATAATTTTACGTTCGCAGTTTTTGCGTATACATGCTCACGTGTATAGCGAAATGATTACTGTTTATTTTTATTAACTATCTATATAGTATAGATAACTAGAGCTTCGTCACTGATTCTCTGTTGTAATTGTTTATCATTATTTGATTGTTTAGTTTTATAGGTCGTGAAAATTAATCATTGATTGAGTAATTATGATACATAATTTAAGAGTTGATAATATGGTGATGTAATTACGGTGTCATTAATAAAATTTACTTCCACGTACTTGGATTTCTACTTTATTAGATATTGTGTAATGTAATAAGTTACGTGGCAAGAAATAAAAAAAAAACGCAAAATTGTAACAGAACATAGCAAAAAAATAAAATAAAAAGTGAACTCTTTATAACTAGGGGTTTGTTTATATCCAAGCCCTCCTTTATATCCCGCTCCATTTGTTTACTTTGTATCTCCAAACTCAGCGACTTTTGATTGAAACACTTCTTACAGTAAATTATTAAACAATCTTTTTGGTGTTAAAAAAATGTGTATTGTGATAACAAAGAATCTAAATTTTTGTGTTCATAACTACTAGCTCCGTCTAGCGACATGACGTGAAAATTGAAGGATGTCAATCACACATCATAAGTTATAGTAGGGGAGTCCCCGACGCTAAATAAGGGTAAGCAAAAGCGCTCGAGCGTAATTAAAAGTGCAATCTCTCTCGTCTCAAATAACGTTAACCATTAATCAGCTGGTTTGCATGGTGGGGGTGGTTGTTGAAGTTATGGCAATAATTATTGGCACATCACGCTTCTTACTTGGTAATACGAAAGTCAAGTTCGGGTAAATGCCCGACTTGTATTCAGTCGGGCACGCTCTTTCGTCGCGGCTACACGTCGCTACAACGTGTATTTTTTTTATATTTCTAAAAACCTCAATTTTGGGCTCTATTAAACATGGTATGTATAATAAAGACCGTGCCGTTTTTAAGTCGTTTGGTGGAAAAGTAATCATTTAAGTTCTCAAAAATGTATGAATATCTGACACTGTCACTTATGCAAAAAAATCATTTTTTCAGGAGAAGCGTTTAAAACTTTAACATCCCAAAACATACAATATTTAAAGTTTTTTTTTAATTTTTTTTTAGATGAATAGCTAATCTGTATAAGCTTTTCATCACGTAAAAATCTTTAAATATTGTATGTTTTGGGATGTCAAAGTTTTAAACGGTCAACCTGAAAAATTTTTTTTTTGCATAAGTGACAGTGTCGCACCGGAGGTGCGATATGAAGATTGTAATAATCATGAACACGATAATAGCAAAGAGAAGCTAAAATTATCAATATTCTATAAGAAAAATACACTTTTCCACTGTGTAAGAAAACAGCCCAGCTATTGAATTTTTAGGTCTTTAGTGTATATATATTAGGATTTTACTTTAAAAATATTGTTATTCATGCTAGAATCAAGTCATATTGTCAAGCTTTTTGATTAATAATATTTATACATCGGGCCTTATTACACATATATGGTTTAGAAGGCCCCTAATGTGGGTAATATGGCCCTGTAAATTCAGTACTATAATTTAGTTGAGTACTTAGTTTTGTTTTTGAATTAGTTTCCCATACAAACTTCAACCCCTTTTTCACTTCCTTAAAGGGTGATTGCTAGGATAAAAATTATTCTAATTCCTTTCCCAAGACTCAAATTATATCTACCTACTTTGGTTTAGCGGTTTAACCGTGAAGGTTTAAGAGACCAAGGGCGGATCCAAGGGGGGGGGGTTATGGGGGTCATGACCCCCCCTGGGCTGGGTACAGATGGACCAAACCCAGCGGGATTTTATTTAAGTACTTTCAATATTTAATATACCACGAATATATGACCCCCCCCCCTGGCGCCAAAGCTGGCTATATGACCCCCCCTGGCGCCAAAGCTGGATCCGCCCTTGTAAGAGACAGACAGATGCACTTTCTTTTTTGTAATATTACAAGCAGCCGTCCGCGTTAACTTTAGTTTTTTGAGAATTCCGCAGGAACCTAACAATTTTCTAGAATAAAAGGTATCCTTAATCTCAGTTCAGGTCATAAACTATATGAGTACCAAATGTCATCAAAATAATTTAGTAGTTTTTGTGTGATTAAGTAAACAACAAACAAACTATCTAATTTTTATTATTTTTATTAAGTGCTTAGTAGGAAAGAGGGTTGTTATTGAAAGTAATATTATAGTAATAGCGTGTACTTGTAAGCACTTGCATAGATCAGTAAAAAGATTTCTTTAAAATGTATAAGATATTGTTTAAAACCCTAAGGAAGCCTTATTAGACTGCAGTAGGGCTGAAAGGCCCTGCCGAGTCTTTTAAGGCCTTCTTAAACGACGTGGGCCCTGCAACACAAATTGATCATTTTAGAAATAAAAATGTATATAATTGCACATGTCTATGTAAATATCAAAAGAATAATGATCAAATAAACACACAACAAAAATGTACTTACAAACCGAAGTATAAACAAGTAACAACTTACGTTTTGTGGGAGCAAAAATTAGCTTAAACCAGTGAACTTTACTTACCGAAGTCTACGAACAACCGGCCGCCTTTTCTCTTTGACCGGCCATCACTGGCAAGATGGCGGTCGTGCGATGCCCGTCGGTGCGTTTCTATTGGCCTGTTTCATACTATGAAGCTTGTGGGAATCAATGCGATTTAAATGGGTTTCTACGCTTGGGCCTTGTCGCCCGGTAGTATCTTATAACCTGTCTATATATTACACGTCATTGTTCAAAACTATTTAGGATAATTCCAGATGCTTATTTTAATATTGGGCGCACCGGGCTTTTTATGTACATACCCTGAGTAATCTTTGATCATTTATGTTTCAAATTACTTTAAAAAATCTAATTATAACGGAAATTAGAGTCGGAGCTAATTCTGAACAATTTTTACCTTTCTGAACAAATGCGGCTCTATTTGTGAACTTGAAAAATAAAAGGCATTTGTTACGAAATATGGCTTTATTCATTTAATAAAGAAAAAATAACTTTCTTAATTTTAATTAATAATAAGATCAGTCATGAATCCGTTCAATATAAGTATAACAGGTTAGCAAATTGGTAATTGCGGATTTTTTTAGAAAATAAAAGATTTTTTTTCATTGAACGAAATAAGTTTATTCTGTTATGTATTACCCATTTTGAGCAATGACCTTTTGCCATCTTTCAGGCAACATCATAATTCCACGTTCCTAAAACTTCAGCAAAAACTGAACCAGGTACGATTTGACATCATCATCATTGTGGAAATTGAGATGTTGAAAGCCCATCGTAAAATTCAAAGGAGACAGTCACGACAGTGGCGGACTTAGCCCGTCAGAGGCCCGGGGCGGCAAAGCTGAATGAGGCCCCCAGCTTTAAAAAAAAATGTAGATTATTATGTTTATTTCGATAAAACCAGTCTTGTCAAATTCACCATAACTTTGTATCAGATTGTCAACTGCTACAGCCAGAGCGTCATCTGAATCTTCTAGCATAAACTTTGTTTCAATAATTTGGAAAATATTTTTTTGATTTGTTTAATAGCTCAATTCGAAAATTTTTGTATAAAGCGGTCTATGCATTCATACATTCACTGCCGGATTTAGGGGAGGGCAACCGGGGCGAAAGCCCCGTGGCCTCCACAAACGGGGGGCCCCCACAATAGAGACTTCGGAAAAAAAACTTTCAAATTCCAACTAGTAAACATCTTTTCCTTTGATATTTTTTTTTGCTATTTTACCTTTACCCAGGGCCGAATTTAAGGCAGGGCAGGTGGGGCTGTGGCCCAGGGGCCTCCACAGCAGCTTAAGAAATAACAACATTTCGATGGGTCAATAAGCATACAAATCCTAAGTGGCCCGGGGCCTCCACAATCCTAAATCCGAATTGATTATCCAGCATCATGAGCTGATTCACCCGGCATCGTTCTTTATACCTTCATTTTTCCTGGTTTCTTGATGTTGATGAACCACCTAAATACTTATTCAAGGCGTTTAGTTTGGTGATTCCTGTATCCAGAGTCATTTTTGGAGACCGCAAATATTGTTAGACTTAAATAGAATGAAGTGAATATAAATCTATGCGTACTCCTGCGGATTCCTGGGGAAGTACCCGCTACAAAGACGGGAATTCCCCCAGAGTATTGGACGCGTTCAGCAAAGTTAAAAAAGTATTAGTACTGCGTAAAAAGTCTAGATTACTGTAGTTTTGATCTCGATGAAATTATATAGGTACTAAGCACATTTTTAAAGTCTTCTTTAGGATTTGATCAGGGTAACGCGGAGGCATTTGGGGGCCCCCCAAGATCGGAGGCCCGGGGCGGGCCGCCCCTTCCGCCCCCCTGTTAGTCCGCCACTGAGTCACGATGTGTAAGTCAAAGTTAATTTTACTCGCTGAAACCGCCCGTGATAAAGTTTCGATTTCAGCAGAGTTTGAGAGGCTGAAGTTGCGCCATGAAAGTCTGCGCGACTCAAAATGCTGTACTGGATATGTGGCTCCAGGATGGTGCTAGAGATGAGGAGTCTACACAAACAGCTATGGACGCAGTGGATATATATGAATCTGATTTTCTCAAGTTACAAGGTAAGGTGAATTAATTTATTAGCATATCTGTTGGTTCACCTCATAGTTTAAAAAACTCAGAAAAAAGCTGCGGCTGTTCAGTTGCTGGTAACACCATGCTCAAACCAAACCTGCCCAAATTCGATGGAAAGATTGAGAACTGGCTATGGTTTTGGTCACAGTTTAAAAAGATAGACGAAGATGAGACTACAGAACGATTTCAAAATACAATACTTTCTGCAGTGTATGGAGCCGGGATCAGCGGCTAAGGACGTAGTCAGTACATTTCCGCCCACTGGTGAAAATTATGATAAGGGCTAGCGCATATATACAACTTAGTTTTTAGTTGAACAACAATTTCGTTGTGTATCGTATGTATATAGCAATATATTGAAGCGCGTATACTGTCAACTCGATAGTTGCTCAAAAAAAAAGTCAAAACGCTGTATCGATCGAGTTTTGATTAAAAAGTTGTAATACAGTCAATCTGTAGGTTGAGTGGTGAAAAAAAAACCTAAAGGGTAAGTCTTGTTTTTTCTGTTGCCAAATGACGTCAGTAAGCCACCTTGGCGATGGGCATGTTCAACTCGTAGGCGTTTTTTGAAAAACTCAAAAAAACCGTCAAAATTTTTTTGAAACGCATTTTTCTTGTTTTGTATGCATTTTAGAAACTTTTTTTTTCACCATAATTGTAGAGGGCGTTGAGTACTACAATTTATATCATTGTTGCAATCTCGTACAACAAAAAATGCGCATTGTAGGTGGCGCTAAAGTCTCAAAAAAAGGGTTTTTTCACTTTTTCACTCTGAAAATATCATTTTAATGGAAAACTTTAAATGGCAAAGTTGTTTCGTACATAATTACCAACAACTTTTGTATAAACAATTTTTTTGTATTACTTACCGTTTTCAAGTTATAAATTGCGCAGGTATGAAAAATCCAATAGAGCGGTTTTGGGCAGTTCAAGTACACATTTTCATTGAATTACAAATGACTATTGAGTGATATGAACAAAACACGGCGTAACTAGTCTAAGCTTATTCCTCGTTTATTAATAAGGGGAAAGAGTCTGAAAGAGTAGTCAGACATAAGTCTGAAGAAAAAGCTGCGTTGGAACTAGATCCAGAAAATAAAAGAAAACTAGGTAATTTTCATACTTCAGTTTCATATCCTACGTTAAATATAAGTATATGTTACCGGCAAAACCCGATTTCAGGACAAACTAGTTTTACCTAGGCTAAACTAATTCTTCCTATACGCGATAGGATTAACTAGTATAGCCTAGTCCAAACTAATTTGTCCTAAGCCCGATAGGATAAACCAGTTTAGCCTAGGCCAAACTAGTTGATTCTAATATAAATTCGCACACTCTAGGATAATCGCAAAAGCTACAGATCGGATTCGGATGAAATTTTTTGTACACATATAGTTTATAACCTGGAATGAGACAT